GAAGGGATTGCGGCGTGGCCATCCCCCCCGGGGGGTGATTTCTCACTTTCTGTCTCTCTGTCTCTCTGGTGAGCACATACTCCCTATAGCAAAAACCTCTCAAAAAAAAAAAAAAATAAGAAAAAGAAAGAAAAAAGAAAAGAAAAGAAGAGAAAAAAGTACGACAAGTACGACAAAATATGTCAGAGAGGGGCCAGCAGGTGGCGTGATGGTTAAGGCGTTGAACTCCCACAAGGCCCGCCACCGTCCAGTCCTGGACCTGGCAGCTTCCTTTCTCACTCTCTCTCTCTCTCTCTCTCTCTCTCTCTGGTAAGTGCACATGCCCTATACCAAATTAAAGGAAAATAAATACTTTTTTTTTTTTTTTAAGAGATTTTTGCTATAGAGTGTGTGCTCTTACCGGACAGATAGAGAAAAGACAGAAAGTGAGAAATCACCTCCCTGGGGAATTAGTCACGCTGCAATCCCTTCTCCTCCATTCTCTTCTCAGGATTTTGGGCATTTCTGCACAAGTACCTGGTGAGAGTTTTAAATCACTGGATCCAGGACTTGAACCACGGTTGATTTCACAGAAGTCCAGCAATGTAACCACTATGTCATCTGCCAGTCCCAATAAATACAATATTTTTAAAAAGAAAAAAAAGTGTGCCAAAGGAAGCATTTTGGTGTGGCAGATCTGGGTTCCTCACAGACTCAAGAACCAGCCTCCAGGCGTCGGAGGCTTTGGATCTCTGCATGGGTAGGGTAGGTGCCACAGAGTGGAGCTGTGGCAAATGTGGGGTAGGGAACCTCCACCAGCCCATGGCCTGGTGGTTAAGGCAGCTGGATCTCCCATGACTAAGTCCTGGACCCAGCAGCTTGAAAAAAAATGCAAGTATGTCCACGCATGCCCCAAATCCTGAACGGTGGAGAGAGCAGGAGATATTACAAAGCTAAGTGACTAGGCCCAGCCATGGCCAACATAGGTGACATGACAAGATCCTATCTACAAAATATAATAAAATAAAACCCGGCCTCTCTGGAGCAGTTAGTAGCATATCAGACTACAGAGCTGGAAGCCACATGCTGGCCGTGGTTCAAGACCTTGGCCTAGTCAGCCTGCAAAATGCTAGGTGCATGTGTACATGCCCAGATCTAGTGGGCTGGAGGACTGGCAGAGGGGATTGTGGCATGATGGAGCCCTGTGGGGGGTGCTTCTCCTCTCTCTCTCTCTCTCTCGTATGTGCAAGAACACTCTACCATGAGCTTTTAAAAATATTATAAGTGGGACCAGCAGTTGGCATAATGGCTCTGTTGCTGGACTACGTAGTCGATCATGGTTCGAGTCCTGGACCCAGTGGCTTAAACTCATGCCGGGTGCGTGTGCATGTGTGACCAAGATCCCGAGAGGAGAATAAAGGAGAAGGGATTGTGGCATGGCCATCCCCCCTGGGGGGTGATTTCTCACTTTCTGTCTGTTTCTTTCTGTCTTTCGGGCGAGTACATGCGCCCTATAGCCAAAAAAAAAAAAAAACTCTCTCCAAAAAAATTATAATAAGTAAGTAAAAAAAAATTTTTTAAATGACTGGAATGAGGTAGAACATATGTCACCAGGATATTTTTATCTTGAACTTGGAGAAAAGAGGAAGAGCAATGAAACAACAGGATCCTTGGGTGTTGTCTTGCTTCCCTCTCAGATTCGCAGCACCCTGGAATCCTGCTCTATTTCCAGTTCCTTGAGGGTGGGACTCCCTTTGCTATCTGGGATGGGCCCTCAGTCCCAGATGGTGAGGCTGTAAGAGGTGGGGTGCTCTGATGCCCAGGTACTAGTCATTAATGACTGCGAGTCATTCATAACTTATTCCAGGCCCTCCCTAGGCTCCACCCCTCTGTCCTTACAAGGACCTGCTGACTTAAGGGGAAGAGGGCTGTTCTGGTAGGGTCTGACAACAGGACTCAAGATTCCATTCTAGGGATTTTAGACCAAATGGAACCAGGCCTGGAAGAGAAGGGCCTAAAGAGAGAAGAACTCTATGACATCAGCCCTGGGGATGCGTTGGACCTAAGGAAGAAGCAATTGTCCCTCGCAGAAGACTCATCCATGCACCAAGGACTTGCAGCCCCCAGAGGAGGACCTGTGCACCCTTAGCTCCTCAATTTCCCATATACCCACTAGATTGACTGATTGTTTCTGGGAGGGGGGATATGCAGGATTCCACCTTTTCAGAGAAGAAGGTTTGAGAAGAGTCTGGCAGATTGAGAATGGGAATAAAAGAAGGGCCACCCGGTGGCGTAAAGGTTAAAGCAGCTGGGTCTTACATGACCAATTGCATGGTTTGAGTCCCAGCTTGAAAACACACTGGGTGCATGTGTGTGCATTCCCCAAATCCTGAAAGGAGGGAGATATGGAGAAGGGATTACATGGCCATCCCCCAAGGGGGGTGCTTTCTCGCT